TAAAGTAGAACTATGATTGGAAGAGATCTGTAGCTAAGGATTACCAGTCTAGGGACAAAGTTATACTAGAAGCTACTAACCTGACTACAGATTGTCTAATGAAGAAGTTGGACAACAAACACTTCAGACCCTTTGTTATTAAAAAGAAGGTTAGTGCCTCTGTCTACAAACTCCAACTTCTGACAATATAGAAGCACATACACCCAGTGTTTAACAAGGTTCTACTGTCTTAGTACTACAATTCTAGTTTTCCTTCACAATAAAGACCTTTACTACCTCTACCAGAACTCATTAGTTCTAAACTAGAATACAAAGTAGAGTATATAGTAGATACTAAGCTAGTATGTAGGAAGCTCAAGTTCCTTATCTACTAGAAGGGATACCTAGTTGAAGAATACACTTAGGAACCTACTAAGAATCTCACCTATACTACTAAAGCAATCCAAGATTTCTATCAACTTTATCTGAGTACTCTGTATTAACTCTACCTTACAGAGTTCCAAACCCTACTGTTCTAACCTATACCTGAACTACTGACCAAGTCTAATGTTTACTAATCAGGACAATTGGTTTTAGAGGGGGGGTAATGTTACAGTTCTCTACTCTTGTACCTTCAGTTCTAAGGGTTCTACACTCTTCTGTACTAGAACTTAGGACTTCTGTCCCTTAGGGGTACTGTCTATAAACTATATGTGTGCTGACTCTTACTACTACCCTTCCTTACTTTATCATTCTATTCCTTTGACCACCCCTTCATTCTTTGTTCATTCTATAGTCTCTTACCCTTTGTCTATCCTTTTATTCTTTGTACCTTTATCTTTAATCTTCTCTTTCTTTCATTCTTTATAGCTTATCATTCTTAGTGGCTCATACTCTCTGAGTACTCTTGTGTAGTTTAGTATATATAAGTGTACAAGATCAGACTGGTCCTATAGTCTTAATCTTGTCTACTCTAGATAGTCCTATACTCTTAGACTCACTCTATATACTCTACTCTTGTCTCACTCTCTCTCTCTACCTGTTCTGTGAGTTCTGACTACATTCTAGTACTTGTGTTCTGTATTTCTGTTGTGTAAGATAGTTGTAGCCTGAGTCCCCTTACTGTGCCTTCAGGTCCCCTCTATACTGTTACTAATAAGAACTGGATCAAAAGCTATTAGATCAGAAGCCTGATCCAACTTTAGAACAACAAGTCATATTCAGAATTCATAGAGTAGCTCTGTACTTCCTTTATTAATCTGAATGAGAAGTACAATGTACAGAACAAGCTTGCATCTCTGTAACAGGACAAACATTCTACTAATACTTTCTTTCAGGAGTTTAATATCCTAGCCTAAAAGGCAGGATTTACACTTAGGTTTAATAATGTCCTTATTAGAATACTTGAAAAAGCTCTTCACCCAGAACTGGTTAATAAGATTCTCAGAATGATACTAGAACTGATTACTTACACTGAGTAGAAGGCTGCATTCTAAACCAATTACAGATTGTATAAACTGACTATAATGTTCTTCAGACTAACTAACTTACTTGTAACATTCTAGTCATTCATAAATCACATCCTTACAGATCTGATTAACTCAGAGTATGTTAGTGTGTATCTAGATAACATTCTGATCTTTACTCTGACAGTTAAGTATTATTACTAACTAATCTGAGTAGTTCTATAGTAGCTCTATAATAATAAACTGTTCCTCTAAGAAGTAAAGTGTTCTTTTGTACAAGAGTTAGTAGATTATCTAAGCTTTGTAATCAGTAGAGGAGAGGTCTGTATGAATCCAACAAAGGTAACTATAGTTTAGAACTAGCTACAATCTTAGAACCTGAAACAGGTCTAAGCATTCCTTAGGTTTGCAAACTACTACTAATACTTTATTCAAGGCTTTAGTACTATTGTCTAGCCCCTTTATAATCTCACTAGTAAAAATGTCCCTTAGTAATAGAGTAATTAGTAACAGTCTGTGTTTGAGTCCCTTAAGTAGGCTATTACTAGTAAGCCTGTATTAGTAGTTCTAACAGTTGTAGACAAGTTCTGAGTCAAAGCCAACTCTTCCAACTTTACAAATAGAGTAGTACTGTACTAGTTCATTAACAGAAAGTAGTGTCTAATAGTGTTCTGATCAGAATCCCTCTCTGTAACAGAATAGAACTACTCTATCTATAACAAGGAACTCCTTACAATTGTCTGTTCCCTAAAGGAGTAGTATTAATATCTCCTTAGTACTGTGTAGAAGTTTAAGATTTAGAGTAATTACCTTAATCTTTAGTACTTCTGAGTGTCTTAGAAGCTTAACTACTACTAGACCTACTAAATGTTAAAACTGTAGGACTATGACTTTGTACTAACCTACAAACCTAGAACACAAATGACAAAAGCTAATTTACTCTCAAGGTAAGTAGGTTATAAAAGGGGAGAGAATAATAACAAAAATCTTGTTCTCCTAGACAATTCCTGTTTTACATTCAAGACAATCTAAGAGATCTGACTCAAATTCAAGAATGTTGATTTTGTTACCTACATACAGTAAGCTCTAAAACACATGTAGGACCAGGTTGTAGTAAAGTAGCTAGAGAAGCAGGCTAGGGATTAGGAGGAGGATAAGGATAGACAGGTTTACTAGGAAGGCCAACTGTACATTCTGAAGGATTAGAAACTGTAAGAGGACATTGTCTGAGCTCATTACAACAATCTAACTGTAGGACATCTAGACTAACACAAAACACAGGAACTCATTACTCAGAACTACTAGTAGCTAGGAATGTAGAGGGAAATCCTAAAGTATGTAACTAGTTACAATATGTACTAATAGACTAAAGCCTACCAGACAAGAGTTTAGACCCTCTTACATCTGTATTAAATCCTAGATTACTCTTAGAAGGAAGTCTTAGTGAACCTGATTAGTAAGCTACCTAAGTCTTAGAGTTACAATACTATCTGTGTAATTGTTGACTAATTCTCTAAGCAAGTCTACACAGTTCTAACCTGAACAGAACTCACTTCTAAAAATATAGTGTGTATTTATTAGGATCATGTCTTCTAGTTGTACAGACTCTCTCAGAAGCTCATTCACAATTGTAGACTACAATTCAAGTTGAAATTCATACAGGACTTGTACACACTTCTTAGAATTCAAGGGAATCCTTCTACTATATATTACTCACAGACTGATAGTCAAACTGAGTAAGTCAATCAGGAGATCAAGCTCTATCTCTAAATGTTCATTAATTATTAGTAGTCAGACTAGTCTGAATAGTTAGCTCTAACAGAATTTGTGTACAATAACTAGTAACACTCTACAATAGGACAGTCTCTATTCTTCCTTAACTATAGAAGACATCTGTACTAGGGGACAGTTCTAAACCAGAACAGTAGTTCTGAATCTGTAACAGACTTTGTAGAACAGATACACAAGACTAGGAAGGATGTATAAGCTCTTTTAGAGAAGGTAGTATAGGTTATAAAGCAGAACTATGATTAGAAGAGGTCCACAGTCAAGAATTACCAGTCTGGTGACAAAGTTATGCTAGAAGCTACTAATCTGACTATAGATTGTCTAATGAAGAAGTTGGACAACAAGCACTTTAGACCCTTCATTATTGAAAAGAAGGTTAGTGCCTCTACCTACAAACTCTAACTTCTGACAATATGGAAGCACATACACTTAGTGTTTAACAAGGTTCTATTGTCTTAGTACTATAATCTAGATTTTCCTTTGTAACAAAGACCCTTACTGCCTCTACCAGAACTCATCAGTTCTGAACCAGAATACAAAGTAGAGTATGTAGCAGATACTAAGCTAGTGTACAGAAAACTCAAGTTCCTTATTCACTAGAAAGGATACCTAGTTGAAGAACACACTTGGGAACCTGCTGAGAATCTTACCTATACTACTAAGGCAATCCAAGACTTCTATCAACTTCATCCAGGTGCTCTGTGTCAACTCTGCCTTACAGATTTCCAAACCCTACTGTTCTAACCTATGCCTGAACTACTGACCAAGTCCAATGTTTACCAATCAGGACAATTGGTTTTAGAGGGGGGGTAATGTTACAGTTCTCTACTCTTGTACCTTCAGTTCTAAGGGTTCTACACTCTTCTGTACTGGAACTCAGGACTTCTGTCTCTTAGGGGCACTGTCTATAGACTATATGTATACTGACTCTTACTACTACCCCTCCTTACTTCATCATTCCATTCCTTTAACCACCCTTTTATTCCTTGTTCATTCTATAGTCTCTTACCCTGTCCATCCCTTCATTCTTTGTACCTTTATCTTTGACCCTCCTTTCTTTCATTCTTTGTAGCTTATCATTCTTAGTAGCTTGTACTCCCTGAGTACTCTTGTGTAGTTTAGTATATATAGGTGTACAAGATCAGACTGGTCCTGTAGTCTTGATCTTGTCTACTCCAGGTAGTCCTGTACTCTTAGGCTCACTCTATATACTCTACTCTTGTCTTACACTCTCTCTCTGTCTGTTCTACAAGTTCTGACTATGTTCCAGTGCTTACATTCTGTATTTCTGTTGTGTAGGATAGTTGTAGCCTGGGTCCCCTTACTGAGCCTTCAGGTCCCCTCTACACTGTTGCTGACAAAAAGACTGTAATTGACTACAAATTAACAAGGCTCAGGAACCTATTCCATCATTTCCATGTCTGTTTCAAATACAGTAAGGTGATAAATGTGTTCTAGCATGCCCTTGTTGGCCTTCTCTGTATAAACCTCTACAGTATCTTTCTTTGTACGCCCCTTCAGTTCAGGTGTTACCACAATAAGATCAAGATGCTCCGCGCCAGCTTTCTTCAGCTGTTCCAAACCCTTCCCAGCAATATTGTGACTCGAAGATACGGTCACTTGGACCATAATTGCTCGCTTCTCCCGAGGAATCCAAAAGAATAAATCGTAGGTCGGCTGATTCTCCTTCACTAGTAAGCCAATCCCATCCGTCTCCGGTAGTGCTTCCACCTTATCGGTACCTCTGATTCCATAATCGAACGTACGGATAGTGTCAAAGTGCTCAGCATTGACACGTCTGTCTGTCACAGTTGCTGTACCACAATGTCCCACGCGCAAA